GAAGGGGGAGCTTCAGGCTTCAAGTCCTCTGGGATGCCCAGGGAAGACCCCTGTCCTCTGCCTCAAGAAGCCATGGAGTAGCATGGGTGGGGGGGACAGAGGGTGGTGAAGATCTGAGCTAGACCTGCTTTATGTGGGGCCTGGAGTCATTTCTGCAATGGACTGGGAACTTCCAGGTCTTGGGGAAAAGCCTAACTCTAGAACAGTGATTTTCTCCTTGGAGGGATTTTGCCTCCCAGGGGCCATTTGCCACCGGATGATGGCATTTTTTGTTGTCTCAACTCGGGGGAGGATGCTACTTGCATCTTGTGGGTAAAGATGGGATACAGCTCAACATCTGGCATGCACAGGGTGACCCCTGTGATGAAAAATTATCTGGTCCAGATATTAGTAGTGCTGCTGAGCTGGAGAGACCCTGGTACCACGGGACGTGCCAGGCATTGGGTTTAGATGAGTGGCACCTTCCCAGAAGCTCTGAACACGAGCTATCTTTCCTTCTTCAACTAGACCAGGAGTCCTAACCCAAATGTTGGGCAGGCAGGTGAGACTCTTTCCAAAAGGGCAGCACCAGGTGAGCTTCCGAGAGTTACGGGCTTCATGCCTACAAAGTGGAAGGTTCCAAGAATGGCGGCAGGATGCTGCACCCGCTGATTCCCAGAGCTGTGCCTTCTCTAGCTACCATCTGAGCAGAACGTGGTCTCACATCCTGGAAGTGGTGTGAAGGTTTCCAGAAATGCTTCTGCATCTGTGGGCTGAAGGCGAGCAGGGCTGGGTGTGGTGAGGAGGGTTATGCCAAGGGTGACCTGGGGTGCAGAGGGCTTTGGTGAGGTCACCCAGAGCCTCCGATTTCATTTTGTCTTTCGTATGCTGGTCCAGGGTGTCTGGGATAGAGGCAGAAGGCTCTCCTCTGGGGCTGTAGGCTATCTGATTCAATGTGGCTGGACAGTGCTCCCACCCAGCCTGGAGATAGCTGCTGAATCTGCCTTTCCCTGCCGATGGCGCTGGACTGTCACAAACAGGATTCATCAGTGTTTGCCTCGTTTATGACAAAACCCAGAGCCCCTAGGGAATAACCATTCTAGATAAGAGTTTTCTAGGTTTCAGATATATTTAAATATTTCAAATTTTATTTTTCTAAAATTTAACAGTTTGGGATGGAAGTCTTTATTTAATGCTGAAAACAC